CCACCTTGGGTAGCAGTTTTGTGCTTGACTGGCACTAGGAGATAGTAGTTTTGGATAACTGTATAAATACCTAATAATTAAAAACTTATTGTTTTTTTTATATATATATATATATATATATATATATATATATATCTCTTTATTAGAAAATGTGTCCAGTTACATTTTAATATTTTTTGACATATTTTAAAATTAATTAAAGCTAATTAAAAAAAATTACAAGTGTATGAGAATATAACTTTTCATATTCTCATGAAAATGTCGCTTTCTCACTCCTCCAATATGATAATAGAAGTATAGAAAATATCATAAGATAACTTCTCAAAAAAAAAAAAAAAAATTCGCATGAATAATTTTTCAAAACTTGTAGCACTCATATTTACATGCGCACTCTTAACTCTTTCAATCTTATGAATAATATGACATTAATTTTTTTTAAAAAAAAAGTATGACGTACATTAATTTAATTTATTAGAAAAGATAATCACCATTGTAGAAATATTTTGGTCTATATAAACGACTAGCATGTGCCGTGGCAGAATGCACCAACAAACACGATTCATCCCAAGCTCTCTGTTGGTATTTGCAAATTCCATCATGCGAGTTCTTAGTTACATGTCTTTTGTTGTAGCATGTTATTCTCTGTTACTAAACCATTGCCATTGTCTCAATCTCGAATTACTTAATGTCTCCAAAATTAAAAACGAGGATGCACAATGGCAAAATGCAGCAGCCACATGGTACGGACCACCAAACGGTGGTGGGACAGATGGCAAGTATTACTTAACATGTTGATATTGAATTAACTGAAGTGTTGATTATGAACATTTTCAGTATTATAATTTATCTCTTTTTTGTATTTTTGATGAATAGTTATCTTGATCTATATTACAATATGACACCATTATTGTTAATTAATTAATTAGTTTTAACCAAAGATACACGTAAGATGAAGCAATATTGGTTAATTTGGTGGTGATGTTGTGTAGGGGGTGCATGTGGATACGGTGCTGCTGTGGAGAATCCTCCACTCTCTAAAATGATATCAGCCGGTGGCCCTTCTCTTTTCAGGGGTGGAAGAGGTTGTGGGGCTTGTTATGAGGTGCATGCAACACGTTCATGCCATTGAAATTCTTACAAATTTAGGTTATATTTGGTAGGTACGAATAGGCATGGCAACGGGACGAGACGGATACGAGTTTCATGATATCCATTTCCGTTCTCACAGTTTAAATCCATTTATGTCCCCGATACTTGATGAGTATGTAATTTTTATCTCATCCCTACATTGGGTATCGGGGTATATCGATAATCATCAAAAATTAATTAATTATTTTTTACAAAAAAAAAAATACAATACTTTTAACTTAGCTTTATGTTACATTACAATAATAATTGGATTGTTTGTCTATCTCATATTTAATCAAAAGACTTCTTAGTAATTAAACAACAACAAATGTATTACATCATAATAAAATGATTAAAATCTTACAATTTAAAACTTACATATAATTAGAATCTTACAAATTAAACAATCACAAATATTGACTAATGTCTCAAATAAACAACCACAATTAATGTTGAATTGACATAACAAAATAAATTAAATTTTCTCAAATAAATAATATAATTCATCTTGCAAGTAAAACTGGGGATGGGGATAGGGATGGGGACGAGGACCGAGCACGTAAGTATATACCTATCCCCGATTTAATATTTTGGATTTTACTCGTATTTCTGATCAAATCGGGTATTCTCTGTCAAAGTTGGGATGGGTTGAGATATCACCTATGAGTACGGGTTTATTTGTCATCCTTAAATGCAAAATGATAGCGAAATAGAAAAAAAAGAAAAAAAAAGGAGAAGAAATACATAAATGAAAATTGAGTAGTGAAATTATTTGATTAAAGAAGAATCGACACTCTTTTCAAATTTCATGAAATTATATAATTTAATAAATCTGATATAGTTTTAAAATAATAATTTCAGCCTAATTGAATTTCAAAAAAGATAGGGAGAGCCCAGTTTGAAATGTAGGAAAGAAGCATTTTGTTTTAATATTAGAGGAAGGTGTCGACGTTCGAACGTTAATGCATTAGTTGTTGAATTTTCAGGTGAAATGCAGAGAAAATGGTGCATGCTCAGGAAATCCAGTGAGGGTAATGATAAGTGATGAATGCCCTGGCTGTAACTTACAATCACTCCATTTCGATCTCAGTGGGACTGCCTTTGGTTCCATGGCAACTCCAAACAATGCAGATAACCTTCGCAACGCTGGACAGATTACTATTCAGTACACAAGGTAGCCCTGTTATCAAATATTTAAGGTTAAATATATTTCTAAGTCTTTATGAAATAATAATTTTTAATTTTTGTAGAAAAATTTATTATTGATTTTTTTAAAATTTAAAATTATTATTTATAATTTTTAATATTATATAATTATTTTTAATTATTTATTTATTCACCACAAAGTTATTTGACCCTATTAGATATTACTTATAATTGTTGATGATATTATGTGAATGTGTGATTTTTCTGAAAAATTTCATAATACTATAAAATTATCATTAAGGATAAAAAGTAATGGTTAAGAGCATACTCGTATTCAAGATAAAAGTAAATAAATTAATTAATATTTCTTTTTTAACGATTATGTTATTAATGTAAAGTAATAATATAAATTTATAAAATCCGTATTTATTCCTCAACTTTTATTATATAATGACCATATCAGTATTGGTGTTTAAGATAATTTTTGTGAGAGTTTTTCTTATTACCCTTTTGGGCTATCAGGGTTGCATGCTCCTTTGGGAAATCCATGGCCTTTGCCATCGATGGTGGGTCCAACCCATACTATTTTGCTACCGAAATTGAATACGAAAATGGGAATGGTGACCTTGTGGACATTGAGTTGAAGCAAGCAAATTCTAACACGTGGCTTCCAATGTTTCGTTCTCAGGGTTCAAGGTGGGCTTTGAACGTTGGTAAACTGTTGCAAGCACCATTCTCTATTAAGCTCACAGAGGATTATGGCAACAACAGAAACAAGACCATTGTGGCTGATACTGTTATTCCATATGACTGGAAACCTGGCCAAGTTTATCGATCTCTCATTAATTTCTAAAGCATGTTTAAGATCAGCGATCGACAAAACTTATAAGCAGAACTATTTGCAGTGTTATAAACATTCATATATACACAGAATATTGTTCACCAACATTTCTTATATGGAATAAAAGAAATATATTTTTTTTAATTACGATCCTTGGATTATTAAGAGTTTAAAACTGTACTATCCGTACTTCGCACCCGAGCTCCGAGCCCAGATTAGCAATACAAGAAGGCGGCCTCGGGCACGTGTTGCGCGACGTCAGCCCGGTACACCTGATTCCGAGGATCTCGCCCCAGGCCAGATCCACCCTTCAATTATATCATATTATATCACGTTACATTATATCATGATATATTTTATCTCAAGCCCAAAGTCCAAGGCAAACCTAGATCACCTCAAGGTACGTGCATTATATATATGAGACCATTATTCAGGCAAACCCTAACTTTGGCATCGGAGTCTCTTTTGCAGGTACTTCCCCCATCTTGGAGCACCAATACATCAAGTAAAGGAGGCTCACCGATCTTACTGGACGGGTCAACTCTACGACCAAATTCCGGTAAGAACATTTGGCGCCCACCGTGGGGCCGATCAAGACAGCTCTTATCGGCCACCTGCATGGTTTCTACTAGAAGCCATATCAGACGAACGACAGACGACGCAAGCCACTCAATCACCATGGACAACAACGCTGCAACCCTAAGGCGGCTGATCGACCAAGTCGAGCAGATGCGACAACAGCACGACGCCGACCTTCAAAATATGCGCACCCAACACGAAAACGACCTTGCAGCGATGCGGACCGCTAATGAAGCAGACCTCGCAGCGTTACGTGCCGAGAATGAGCGCATTCGCGCCCAGCTCCCTCGACACCACTCCGAACAACCTCCGCACGAGAGCGACACTCATCAGGAAAACAAAAATATTCGCGTTCAGCCCCAACGGCGGCACCCTGACCACCCCTCCAACTCTCAACTCGACCCCGGCGGGGCAGCACGAGATAAGGAAGGCCAGGAAGCAGGGTCAACCCCCCTAAACCGACTAGTTGGTACGATCGAGGCTTCGCAGGAGGCGGCGCCAGCAGCTCAGCCCGGAAAAAACACATGCGCAAGGTCAACCGCATACACTCCGCCACCTACGCTTCATGCCAGAACTCGCCAGTGATCACTTTCACCGACGACGACTATGTCGGGGTCAGCCCAAATCAAGACGATCCCATGGTCATAGCGGTGGCATTGGCCAATTGGGAGGTTCGCAAGACCTTGGTCGACCAAGGAAGCTCGGCCAACATCCTATACTGGGCAACATTCCTCAGGCTAGACATCCCCCACTCTCTCATACAACCCCATACCGAACCTCTAGTCGGTTTTGCAGGGAAGAGCATTCACACTCGGGGATATGTAGACCTACTAACGACTTTCGAAGCACCCCCGATTTCCAGACAGGTCCTGGTTCGATACCTACTCGTGGAAGCCGACACCTCCTATAAGGTCATCATCGGCAGGCCAACCCTAAATCAACTCGGGGCGGTGGTGTCCACCCCGCACCTCACCATGAAATTTCCAGGGCACGATGGGAAGATCATCTCCATCAGAGCAAATCAGCAGGTAGCGCAACAATGCTACGCAGAAAGCCTGGAAACCGCCTCACTTGGCGAACAGCGCAAGAGCGATCTTACCGCTCTGGCTCACACCGACCACGAAGAAATCACCGATCTCGACCCGAGATCCGATGCTCATGACGAACGACCCAGCCCCGTCGATGAGCTCGACGACCTTCAAATCGGGAAACTCCACGGACAAACCACAAAGATCAGCAGGCAATTAACCCCGAACTACGACAGCAACTCCAAGCGAAGATCCTCAAGAACGCCGACCTCTTCGCCTGGTCTAGCGCTGACATGCCCGGCATAGACGCCGACTTCATCTGCCACATGTTAGCAATACACAAGGAGGCAAAACCAGTCGCCCAGAGAAAGAGGAAGGTCGGCGGCGAAAGGCGGGAAGCCATCATCATCGAAACCAGAAATTGCTCAACGCCGGCTTCATCCGTGAAGTCAGGTACACTACATGGCTGGGAAACGTGGTGTATGTGCGTCGACTATACCGACTGTAATATCCCAAAATTTATGCAGTATTAAGGATTATTT